CCCTCGATTGTGACAAAAAACACTACAGACTAGCAAACTCCAATCTAATCAGGACACAAAAGAATAAGTGAGTTATCACTGTTAGAAGAGAATAATTTCACCTATAACCACATTCACATAATCCATTAATTAATGAACATATAAACAAATATCACCTACGGCATGTGAAGTAGAAAAACATCCCCACATTTAGATTGATGCTCACCTTTAAAAGCTAAAACCAACCAAATATTACACCGATGTTGAAGAAGAAAAGGGTTTTGGGGCTAAATAGCTGCAACAATTCAATCAAACAAAGTTATTATTAACACTATATAAACCCTAGATCAGATCTAGGGTTTCAACTGTAGGGGGAGAGGCTAGGGGAGAGAGAGATCGAAACCAGAGAGAGGGGGGATCTCGACTTGAAATTCCTCTTTGTTAAATGATCGGGTCGGGATTTGATAAATGACAAAAGGTGGGGTGAAATTTAAAATAAGTTGTTTTGGGCTTTCAAATTCCTCTTTGTTAAATCAATTGATTTAAAATCTAGGCCCTAATCAGAACCCAAACTAGATATTTGAATTTGAAATACCCTGGATTTTAAATCCAGGCCCAAATCCAAGTTCCCAAAAACACCCTAAATTTATATTTCAGTTTCTTTGTGAAAGTTGTTTAATTGATTTTTGAGCATGGATTAACAAATTTTGGATTATTGTCATGTGATCAATAGAAATATATGAATGCCTTGATGCTCCCTTCTCTGTTCCTCGTTATAATTTTAGTTTAAAACAGGTGAGTCATTTTATGATTGCCAATATGTGGCGTATATTACGGCAGTCATGGTTAAGCGTTATTATCTTTATATTATTATTATTTTATTTAAACAGACTCAGCATGCTGATGCTTCTTCTTCATATACTACCTAATTTTGTTCTATTTGGAATAATGCGGACGTGTATATCCTATCTTAAACAGTGTCTGTAGTTAAAGTGTTGATGATATTAGATGAAGTCTTGAGCCATGACTACTTTGTTTAACTAACTGCACATTCTTGTTATTTTAGTGATAGAGATTGGTTATGAAAACTTATTATTTCTAAACTAACTGACCAATTTGATTAATTTTTTTTAAAGAACCATCTTTTACTAAGCTGCAAAACTTAATCATCAAGTAGTTATATATAAACACTTTACTCTATTGATGATTTTTGTTGGTCCCACCTAAAAAAATTCAGAATCAAGTTGAGATATGGTTGTTTATTATTTTATTTTTTATTTATGTTTTTATGTTATTTTATTTTAATATTTTATTTTATTTTGTTTAATTTTTTGTGTTGGAAAGAATAATTAAGGGCTTGTCAAAATGGAGATGCCAAAAACTCTCTCCTCTAATATTAGGTTTTTTTCCGGTCAAAACTCAAATTTCACTTTTCACAAAATACACTCAGCCTCTTAAAAAATGTTAGAATTTTTATAAAAAAAATAGAGCTATTTTCAAAATTTTGATCTCACGAGAACTCTAAATATAAGGAGAAATTTTCAAAACAGTCATATTCCCTAATTTACTCCCAAAATTCGACCTGTTTCACTTTTATTTTGTGAAATCTACCCAATTTCTGGCCATATCAACATCATGGCTAGAAACTGGGTCGTTTAAAAAATAAACTTTTAATTAGTTGGGGTTCGCAACCTAGATTAATTAGAAGCAGCTCAAATCTCGAGCGGGACTAGCAATTCAAACCCCGACCAAAATGGTCGGGGTTGCCAACCTGACTATTTGGGGGACTAATTTTAAAAGTCTCTGCCAAATAGTCGGGATTGTCAATCCCTACTCTTTTGGGACCGGCTAGTTTGGAGCTTGAAATTGGCCAACCGCGACCAATTCGGCACATAAAAATTTGCCGGGATTGCCAAACCTGACAATTGGTCGGGTTTGGCAACCCTGCCAATTTTTTGTAGAGACTTGTATCGGGTTCTCGAGCACATACTAATTAGTCGAGATTGTCAACCCCGACTAATTAAGCAACACGTTTTTTTAGAAATCGACCCAGTTTCTGGTCACAAAACAGACGTTATAGAAACTAGATTGATTTCGCTAATAAAAAAGAGATAGGATCGATTTTTGTGATAAAATGTGATAGTGAGTCTAATTTGAAAATTTCTCTCTGAATATAACCAACCGAAAAGATGACAACTAGTAGTTATAACTTTATGATCCATAAAGAAGGGGAAAAAAAGCTAATCCCCAAGAATCAAAAGACTAGACGGTTGGGAAATGAAGAAGTAAAGACAAATTGGCACTAGGGTCCACTTGGGATTGGGTCGGTGGAAAGAGGCCCCTCGTAGGCCCGATTGGGCCGCCCACTTGCTTTTAACGCACGCTCACTTCTTATATTTTCCTAAGTCCTTGTCATGAGCACATCATCATCCATGAATTTTAATGTAGAAAACACTGAAAAGATTATTCAGCTGCTAAACTTTTCCCCTGCTTTAGACAGAAATCTTGCGCTTTCACTACTGATGTCATGGTGAATTAAGATAAGGGTTGCTTTGCAATTAAGGATGTGTAATCACAATTGTATAGCTCATAGATACAAAGTCCTAAGGGTGTGTTTGGCAACAAGTTAAAATTGGGTGAGGATTGAACCTGACCTAATTTTAACTTGTTTCTCGTTTGTTAAATTTTCAGGTCAGAGCTGGTCCATTTTTTTAGCCTAAATAGTGTTACTAAACCAGATTTCTTTTAGACAAGGGAGTCCGGTCCAAAAGAAAACTGGTTTAGTACAAAACTGGGTCAGTACTGGTCTTAGCCCAGTTTTATTCACTTTGCCAAACACACCCTAATGTTAGACTCATCTCCATGCATGTAGGTTGTATCCAAAATTCTATTCAATCTCTACCTTCTAATATGTTAGGTCTCTTGTTTTGAAGATGATTTACAAACCTCATTATTGGTACTAATTGCTTGTTGAGTGATATAATACAGGATGTATTTTATCAAGCAATTTCATGCCACTAATTGGAGGTTGGATGGTTTTTGCGCCACAACAATAATATCTGTGGAGGTGGAGTCAAGTTGATGAAGAAGAGCTTACAAGTATAATATATACTAGAGGAGCTTCATCAACAATTTTAGCAAATATCAAGGCTCAAGACGTGTGTATCATTTGTGAGCAGTATTTGTATTTTTTTCTCTCTAGTTCATAATGTAGGCAAGAATTAAAGTAGATAACATTTGGAGCACTTGGGGTTCATACACACATATCTCTAAACACCGTGTTTTGACCGTTTTGTAAAATGATAAGTTTTCACAATTTGGGAAATGACATTTGGAAAATTCTTTTTCTAACATGTTTGTTTTCATCAAAATAATCATTTTCCTAAATTTCATATTTTTTAGAATTTAATATTTTCTAACATGTTTATTTTTATTGTTCATAACTAGGATATGTATGGTTATCAGTCGACTGACACTGTTCATCAGTCTATTGATGAAATACTCTGGAATTGCAAAATGTTTTTGCTCGGTCGATTGACTCTCATCAGTCGACTGAAGCAGCTCATCAATCGACTGATGGGTTCATCAGTCGACCGATGATGTTTCAGTGGCAGCCGACCGTCAGCTCATCAGATGACTGAACAGTACATCAATCGACTGACGACGACTGTAACAGTTAGTTATAGATTTTCTGAATTTGCGGGATTTTGTGATTTTGTCTGGTTTTGGGCTGTTGTTTGGGATTCCTATATATATCTGTTAGCCGACTTCACTCTAGTATCTAAGCAAAAAAAAGAAAAACAAGAGTTTCACTTGTATTTTGTTTTTGAGCTATGACTTTCAATCTCATTCCCAAGTTTTCAGTTTCAGTTTCGATTTTCGATTACACATCCTACACACCCCTGAGTTTTAACTGATTACCTCTTCAATCCTTGCCATAGGTTTATTGTAAGAGAGTTTCCTTCATTCATCTTGTATTGTGTGGTAAGCTTGATCTCGAGGAGATCGTTGTGTGGATTGTGAGATCTCGGGGAGATCATTGTGAAGAAGTTCTGGCTTCCAAACCGGGTTGTGATTAGTGGATTACCATCGGGAGAGGTGGTCGGGGACGTAGGTTGAGAGAACCGAACCTCGTGAACATATCGGAGCTTCGTTTGGCTAACTATTTTCTAACCCTTTCTCTCTTATTTATTGCCATTGTTTAAAATTGTGTCTTGTATTGCATTGAATTTCATTAATTGCATATTTATTGTTTGATTACCATATTCACCCCCCTCAGGATAGGGCCCAATTTGAGCTCCTATTTTTTTTTATTTTAATAATCCAATAGGGAATTGAACCTTAGATTGTGGGAGTTATATATTAGAACCTCCTAACCGTTCGGATCATTCGCGGTGACACCCTAAAAATTTTTTGATAGCTCATTATAAGTTCTATCAGACCACACTCCCGAGTTTGATCCATACATTCTAGTGTGTCGTTGCCATGAGACACATCCACAATATCACAATTCAGCACATATTCACATTGTAGTTGCATCAATGTAACACTAGATAAAAATGTGAAACCACATATCAACTTTTGTTTACATAGTACCATTCTATATAAAATTCTATAATCAAGGGGTTGTTTGGCTAGGTAGAAACGAACCTGTAGATATAAATAATGCAATTGGATTCATGTTTCGCTTATTTGGTTTGGAATATTTTGATTAAGAAATATACATGGACCTACAACCTTTGGAAAATAAATGCAACAAATGTTGCCGCCAATTTCGGGGGAGCCAAAATGTACAAATACTAGAAAGAATATTTAAAAATAAAAAAAATACAACTTTCAAAAAATATTACGACAAAAAAAAATACAACCTTCAGAAAAATACTATGTGAGAAACAGGATATTAACACATTCTATTATGCACAGTCAACACATCATTTATCAAAGATCACATTGGTTAATTTGATGTCAACAACTACTCTCAATCAATATACTTATCTGGAGGATACTGGATATCACATGTATGATCTCCGCAGCGGCCAACTTCTTACAAGAGTTATCACGAGATAATATGACAGAATTTTACAACTAAAAAGAAAAAAGCTTATGTGATTACAAATAACATTGAATATAACACCAATAAAACAAGAACAAAAGACCAAACATTTTTCTTTCAGCTTAGTTTCAATCTTCCCTTCTTTTCAAGACACAATTTTCTCAGGTCACGACGCAATTCGTCATCAACGACCCCCAATCTCTGAAACCACTGTTCTAAAATCTCTGACGCCTCTTCATCAATTTTTACACCATCATCCTCCAAATCCTTGAGAAAAGCCAGAGCTTTCTCAATGCTGTTCTCCTTGTCATAAGCCTCCAACACAAGAACAACGCATTTCCCATTAGGCTTAAGCCCAACGCTCTTCATGTTCTCCAGCACACTTAAAGCTTTATCAGTTTCACCTCCAACACAATATGCATTTATAAGAAGAGCACATAGTTTTGAATCAGGAACAATCCTTGCAAACTGAATAGCATCAAACACTCTTTGCGCCCCATCAGAATTGCCTATAATTGAATAAGCTCTCAATAAAGCTTTATACACTTCTCTTCCTGCATATATTTCTTTAGCTTCCGTTTCTTTCATTAAATTCTCTGCGAGATTCAGCTCTCCAGCTCTAATATAAGCCATGATCATGGAATCGTATGCTCTTCTATCGAGAGGGAGGCCGAGAAATTGGATTTCTTGGAATGCTTCTTTGGCTTTGTTAAGATTTCCGGCTTTGCTGTACATGTGAATGAGAACCGTTAGCGTGACCTGATCACAAGGGAAGCCTCTCTTCTTCATAGCTTGGAATGTGCTCTCTGCTTTTTCTATGAGGTTGTGCTTTGCGTAAGTGTCAATTACTTTGGTGTAGTCACGGGCATTGGCTTCAAAGGACTCTTCCAATAAGACCCAGTCCATTACCTACAAATGGTGGCACATGATTTAGGGATAAGGCGAGCTATAATAAGTACTGAAGATAGTTACATTATTGGGGAGACTATTTGCCTTTAGAAAAATGCCCGGTAATTACCAAGATAATGCATACTAATGACGAATACAGTCTGCAATGATATGTAAATATTGAAACATAAGTTAAAGGTAAATTTCACAGAACTACAATAAACTATTAGATTGAAAATATCATGGATTTTTTTCCAGTAAAATACTAAGACTACAGTTAGCGTTAGTTGTCACGTGGTTCGCACCTGACATGTTTTGGATAATTTTTCCCTTACGTACTTTAATGTCGTCTACATTACCCTCATGAATTCCACGAGGTGACAGACATAAAATTGTAGATAATGGTAGTTCACACCTTTTATCCAGTAAGTTAACAGTGCTATCAACAATTTCAGGTAATTAATGGTATTTTTCTGCTGCTTCGAAAGTTCAAAGTAGTCCTCTCTATTCTCTAACAGCAGTTTTGTGCAAAATCCCTAAGTTAATGGTAGATTAGAGAAATTACACCTGAAAGTGACATCCATATCACATACTTTACTTAATGCATACACACATGATTATTATACACATAACTCCAGAATTGTTACACAAACTTTACCAATGCACTCGTCATTAAAAGCAACACTTGTATTTTATATGTTGCCTCAGCAGTTCTTTAAAAAAATCGCTTCAAATGTTTAAGCAAATGTTCATGATCAGTATTGTTTTCGCCAAAAGTTGGTTTCGTTGTCGAATTCATTATATCTTCGGTCGATTACAATAAATTCAAAGAAAACAGCCTTTTTATAAGACTCTTTTACACAACAAAAAGAAAATTACAACTCTTGAGAAAATAAACGCAGGATCGTTGTTTGGATCACTGCTTTCGTGGGTTCTTTGCCTGTGCCGGGAGCGCTTTGACTCGTGGACCACCAAATCACAGATTCTGATTGAATCGTGAGGGGTTTATGATTCTGACTTCGTTTATCGAAGTGAGAAATTGAAACGATATCTTATCGATGTAAGATAGTCGTTCTTCTTGAAATCAAGTCAAAGCCTGATTATCAAGGATTGGTCGTAAGATCAAGAACTCTGCTCTGTCTGCTCTGAAGTGCTCCAAATGATCAGCCTCTCTCTGCTCGCCCCCTGTGAAAATAGCCTTCGGGGGGTATTTATAGCCCTCTGGATGAACAGTGCTCGCGAGACAGCATTTGCTGTCTCGGCGGGCGAGACAGTGTTTGCTGTCTCGCTGGCCGTAAAAGACTGTCTCTCCAAACAGTAAAAGACTGTCTCTCCAAACAGTAAAAGACTGTCTCTCCAAACAGTAAAACACTGTCTCTCCAAACAGTAAAACACTGTCTCTCGAAATAGTAAAAGACTGTCTGGCGATACAGTAAAACACTGTCTGGCGCCCGAGACAGCAAACACTTGTTTCTTATGTTCTTTTGATCTTTGGATGATCTCCTTTTAAGCTGTATTTGGATATCCATCAGCATTTTTTGACGCTTACAGATACCCCCTCCAAAGTATTCCAGACTCATTCTTTTATAGAGGAGTTCTGGGATACTTTGGATAAGATAAGTCTTGCTTACGATCCCTTCAATGCTTGGTTGAGTAGATCGTGTGGAAGGACTTGTACATGACTTCAATGCTTGATCTCTTCTGCTTTTAGTCTATTCAGTTCTTCGTAGAATAGCTAAAATTCTCCCAGCGTCGCGTTTATCGCTTGACCGTTGTCAAGATCCTGAATTGAAATTGGTATTTGCTCTTGTAGATTCAACTTTCACCACTGAGTTGGTATATCCATTGAGAGTTTCTCAGGTTATATTGTAACTGAGATTAAAGGAATACAAATCAAATTTTCTTCATTTCTTTTACTGTAAATTTTCCCACAAACAGTTGGTAGAGATGAACTCGATGATGGAGAGGAAGAATTTTATATTCTATCTCCTGGTCTCTTGTTTGTTGGTAGAGATGAACCCGATGATGGAGAGGAAGAATTTTATATTCTATCTCCTAGTCTCTTGTTTGTTGGTAGAGATGAACCCGATGATAGAGAGGAAGAATTTTATATTCTATCTCCCGGTCTCTTGTTTGTTGGTAGAGATGAACCCGATGATGGAGAGGAAGAATTTTATATTCTATCTTCTGATCTCTTGTTTGTTGGTAGAGATAAACCCGGAATCGGAGAGGGAGAATTTTATATTCTATCTCCTGGTACAAAGGAAATTTGAAGTGGGATTTCTATTCAGAGAATCTGAATAAGGTTTGATCAATTGAGATTGGAAGCAATCTTAACTTTTATAGTTTTGATTGCACAAATCGAAGCTGGATCTCTCGTTCATGGAAGGAATCGAAAGGGGATTTTGGTTTTGGTCCTAACTGTAGTAAGGTTTGACCAAGATGGGAATTTGAGACGATCCTGACTGTTTAAAGGTTTGATCGTTCAATTTGTGGACCTCTCGTTCATGAAACAAATCGAAAGGGGATTTTGGCTTTGGTCCTAACTGTTTAAAGGTTTGACCAAGATGGGAATTTGAGACGATCCTAACTGTTTAAAGGTTTGATCGTTCAATTTGTGGACCTCTCGTTCATGGAACGAATCGAGAGGGGATTTTGGCTTTGGTCCTAACTGTTTAAAGGTTTGACCAAGATGGGAATTTGAGACGATCCTAACTGTTTAAAGGTTTGATCGTTCAATTTGTGGACCTCTCGTTCATGGAACGAATCGAGAGGGGATTTTGGCTTTGGTCCTAACTGTTTAAAGGTTTGACCAAGATGGGAATTTGAGACGATCCTAACTGTTTAAAGGTTTGATCGTTCAATTTGTGGACCTCTCGTTCATGGAACGAATCGAGAGGGGATTTTGGCTTTGGTCCTAACTGTTTAAAGGTTTGACCAAGATGGGAATTTGAGACGATCCTAACTGTTTAAAGGTTTGATCGTTCAATTTGTGGACCTCTCGTTCATGGAACGAATCGAGAGGGGATTTTGGCTTTGGTCCTAACTGTTTAAAGGTTTGACCAAGATGGGAATTTGAGACGATCCTAACTGTTTAAAGGTTTGATCGTTCAATTTGTGGACCTCTCGTTCATGGAACGAATCGAGAGGGGATTTTGGCTTTGGTCCTAACTGTTTAAAGGTTTGACCAAGATGGGAATTTGAGACGATCCTAACTGTTTAAAGGTTTGATCGTTCAATTTGTGGACCTCTCGTTCATGTTCACAACCCCAACTTGATAATACGATTCCTCGGTATGATTGCCAAAAAATCGTATCGTCTGTTGGTATGATCTCCCAGGTATGACGATATCATTTGGTGAATGCGTCTTCTTCTGGGGGTATAAAACCTTGTTGGCATTCTCAGGACAATTTATTTTTGTTTTTGAGCGATCCAAGGTTATGTTGGGAGTCGCACGTCTGAAACCACCCATTTGCGGGTATGGGGTCTTAACGGGCTCCGAATGCTGATTTTGCATAAGTCCAGACTTTGGAATCCAAACTTGACGAAGTTTTGGTGATTCTTTGGTCACCATTTCCTTTCTCTTTTCTCGTCTTTGTTGTGAGAGAGCATGGGCATTAGCAGCTTTTGCACGACGTTTTTGTATACGTTCTTTGAGGGTCGAACGAGTCCTTTTGACAATAGTCCATTCCTCCGTCGTGAGTTTAGCAGAGACATGAATGATTGGTTGTTGAGACAACTGAACCACTCGATATCTCCTCGACTCTAGGTCTGCGTGGTAACGAACCCCGTCGGTTTGTTCCAAGGCCTTAGCCATTTGGCGAGCGCGGCGTTGGCGTTGTCTCTGACGAGCTCTTTTCGTCAATGCCGGCGGGCTTTGATTCGATGACTCTTTAACTAGATAAGAGCCATTGTGAGCAGAGGTATTGCGAGTGAAATTCTCAGCAACAATCAAGCGAGAATCTTCATTTTGTGCCTTCTTTGGCATGTAAGTCTTCCTCAATTGTGAGATCCTCTTGTACTTGCGAGATACTGAAGATCTTGAAGAGGATGATGAGAAATATTCCTCAAACTTGGTTTGGTCGAATTCGTATTCGACCATGGATTCAACTGGAATCTTGATCGGCTGCGACACGACGGTCTCGGCAGCGAGACCGTTGGCTCCCACTGTGGTCGCCAGTTTGTTTTCGCCAAAAGTCGAATTTGTTGTCGAATTCATTATATCTTCGGTCGATTACAATAAATTCAAAGAAAACAGCCTTTTTATAAGACTCTTTTACACAACAAAAAGAAAATTACAACTCTTGAGAAAATAAACGCAGGATCGTTGTTTGGATCACTGCTTTCGTGGGATCTTTGCCTGTGCCGGGAGCGCTTTGACTCGTGGACCGCCGAATCACAGATTCTGATTGAATCGTGAGGGGTTTATGATTCTGACTTCGTTTATCGAAGTGAGAAATTGAAACGATATCTTATCGATGTAAGATAGTCGTTCTTCTTGAAATCAAGTCAAAGCCTGATTATCAAGGATTGGCCGTAAGATCAAGAACTCTGCTCTGTCTGCTCTGAAGTGCTCCAAATGATCAGCCTCTCTCTGCTCGCCCCCTGTGAAAATAGCCTTCGGGGGGTATTTATAGCCCTCTGGATGAACAGTGCTCGCGAGACAGCATTTGCTGTCTCGGCGGGCGAGACAGTGTTTGCTGTCTCGCCCAGCGAGACAGTAAATTTGCTGTCTCGCCCAGCGAGACAGTAAAATACTGTCTACATTTCTGGCAGTTTTCGATGTAACTGCTTTCCCACGTTTCAAACTCCGTTATTCTGGCAGTTATTCACTTGATTCTCGCCCACGACGTTTCCCACGTTCTTGAACAGTTAGTGGCCACGTGTAGGGCAGTTACAAAGGTAGTTTTGACCATCTGAAAGCTGTCTCACGTGCGAGACAGTAAATTCTGTCTCGCACGGCGAGACAGCAAAGACTGTCTCGCGTGGGCGAGACAGCAAAGATGTCTCGCCCTGCGAGACAGTAAAGCCTGTCTCGCACGGCGAGACAATCAAGTCTGTCTCGCACGGCGAGACAGTCAAGACTTGTGTTCTTCTACCTTTTTGGATGATTTCCTCTTGAGCTGTATTTGGATATCTTTTAGTATTTTTTGACGCCTACAAGTATTTGCATTTTGCGACACAGAACGAACCAAGCTAAATGAAAACAAAACAAAGGGTACTATCAGGCTAGTTGGCAATGAACTTGCCAACACAAGGAATGTTGGAAAAAGGCACTGTGTTTAGTTACTTTGAAGAGGAAGAAACCCTTACATGTGTGGTGGAGGATAGCAGTGAAATAATCTATTTATTGGAAACCCTTGATTAGTTACTCTGAAGAGGAGAACCAAGAATTGGGCATTGTAACAGCTCGGCAAGGCTCCTGCCAGTCACATGTCCATATGATTTGCTAGATGTGACCTTGGCCATAGGAAAGATATTAGATTCTGAAAAGTTCCGATAGATATCATACTAGCTCTACTTTTTCTGATCTCGCAAACATGGCACTAGATGTGGATGCTCCCATTGCTGAATGGGGGTGGAGAAGACAAAAAAACCTACATTCAGGATACCGCTGACTCTTATCATGAGGGTACAAGAGCAGAAAAATTGATGACTTTAAGAAATAGCTCTCAAGTATTTCTCAATGCCCAAAAACTAGAACCCGGAATGGGAAAAGGTGGGAAACTTACTATGCTAAACCAACCGACAGAATTCTGAATGGATGCTGTAAAATCCCAAGTGCAGTCATGGTGTACTGGTAACATGTGCCTATTAGTTACCTTTGGTGTTAGTCCAAAAAAGGATAAACCAACTAGGAAGAAATGCCCAGTTAATTTTAGGCATGTAGCTCAAGACATGAACTTAAAATTTAATCACATACTTGTTAATTGGGCGAGAAACAGATAAATTGATAGAGAGTTATCCTACATATTTTGCAGTCAGGAGTCATCCCCACTAGGAGGGATTTGCAATGGAACAATGTTTCTCATGAAGCTAAGCTATAATTATATTCCACCTTTCCTTTAACCTCTCTTTTCACAAGCAAGTGCTCTAACCTGTTTAACTTCCTCTTTCCATTACTTCTCAATTTGCATAAAAATGATAAAGTTTGCTGCTTGTCTAAGGTACTGCATGACAGAGACAGAGAGACAAACTGAAGAAGAAAAAAGGGAACACGGTTCTAGCCAGAAGATGAGTACAATAAGCTTGCTCGGCAAAGAATCTAGGAACCCCATGACACAAGTACTAGATGATGGTGAGACAAAACTAAAAAGGATCAAATTTACATTACAGCCCACAAGTTCGTAAGTATCATTTTGTTACAACGCTTCTATCATATTACACACCTTCTCTTTTGAGTATGCAACATAAGGCTCACATGTAACACCATAAAAGATATAAGATCATAATACATATCACCCTTCCCATTCTACATTTTTTCTTAGTCCAGGAGAACTCATGCAGAGCTTCCCCTTGAATACATGAGCTCAAACTGTATAACAATAGGGAAAACCTATTAAAGTCTCCTTTCCTGGCATCTTGACAGAAATTTGGCACCAGCATATGGTGCTGATGTCAAGTAGACATCCAATAGTAATTCATTCAAACTCCACGAGGCTTGTTGTGCTCCATAATTGACCCCATTTTGATGGGAAGGGCGATGATAATATAATGATGACTACTTTTTAAAAAAAATAATAATGAATAATAGAGCAGTCAGAAGAGTTTGTTTCCTTGTGTTTAGTGAGTGGGTGATATGTGAGTGCTTATATGTGTGTGATTCTTTTGTCATGTCCACCGTATTTATTTGTCTCATGTGAGTGCCTGCTTTGAGGTTTCTACCCTTCATTAGCCACTTGGTTTGCAATTTGCAATAATGTTAGTACCATTGCACATGATGAAGGTAACTAATATGCTAAGTTTGACTTCATATATTTTCTTTTGCTTTCATTTTCAAATTTACCTCAATGTACACTAAGAAATATCTAATTCAATGGAGGACGATGCGCAACTTTTTATACTGTATTCTCTATCAAGCACACGAGAATCACATGTTATAATTGGTACTCTGGAGGCATAGATGAACACTGTATTATGTGTATATAATATACATGATTCAACTTGATTTTTGCTCCAGGTTCTGCATTATTGAGCTGGCAGATTACAGATATTTATTGATGTAAAAGGAAAGCTGGCAGATTACAGATATTTATCGCTGTAAAAGGAAAGCTGTATGTCACAGACTTGGCCTTGTGGCGAAATCACCAGGATGTAACATGTAACTAAGATAAGACTATTCTTTTCATAATGAATGTGTGTACAAGCAAAGTTAAAAGGTATATGGCATAATTCCAAAAACACATAAATAATAATTAACTTTTTATTACCGTGGTCCAGAGAAGACCACAGATACCATGAACTATTGGCTGGCTCAAAGACTTGCATATTGGCAACAACTTTGTTTCAGAGGAGCAGGCTCAAACATTGGCATCTAAATAGACATAAATCATAGATGCAATTCACAAAAGCCCTAGATTTTGTAGATATGACTTTTTCCAATTATCATCGTGTTTTGTAGAGCCTTATTAAGTTGCTCATACTACTTTAGCCTGTTTGGACCATAAGATGTCCCAATACTATATAGTATATTCCCTCTTCCTGAATGAAACAATTTGATGAAAATTCTCGGAAGTTCTAGGAGTTTCTCAGTGTAGAAAAGTAATATCAAAACTTGGTGTTACATAAGTAAGCTACATTAACAACAACAACAACAACAACAATCAGCTAAGATAATTTTTTAGCATGGTACTAAAGTAACACCATACCCAAAGGCAATGAATTTTAAAAAGAACATATAAAAATTTTGTGATACGAATTTAACAAGTCATTTATCGTCACAAATTTATGTTCACGTAAAAGATTCTGAGCACTAATCAACCTCCAGATCAGCATTATTCCAAATAAGCAAACTGCACTGTCCAGACAAAAAAAGAAAAAAAAGGGGGAATAGCGGATTATAACTGACCTCCAAAAGGAGAGGGCTCTCTGTCCTCTTCAATTCTTTGAGAACTGTCAACCAGTCAGATCTTCGGGGCTTCATGACCTTTACCCATGCTGCCAAAATATGAGATAAAACTTCATCTTGAGTGAAGCATATGATGCGTTTCATTATGGCCTTGCACCGATTGGTCATCTTTGGTGGAAGCTGAGTTATTGCTTCCTTCTGGGCCTCGGTTATGTCGGGGCCTACATCATGCCATTTTATCTTTGGTTTTTCTTTTTCTTCTTCCACATTCTCTTCTTCTCTTTCAAGAGCAACCAGTGTTGAATGTACTATAGATATGGGAGGTGAATTATTATGTCGTTGTAAGAGAGCTGGACCTTGGACATATTTCCATGGAGATGTTTGCCATTCTTTTGCCACAATGGTAGATATGCTATTTGGATAGAAGTTAGACAGCATGAATTGAGAAGTACAAAGCATGACAAGGGAGAGGGTAAAGAGATCACTAATCTCTACTACTTAAATGTTGCTCCTACAATACATTTCAGCATATTATGTACATATGAAATTTAGGAGCAAAAACTAGGTAGGAAGGTAGAGGGTAAATGGGAAAGTAGATAGGACTTATAAATAACTGGACAAAAGTTTATAGCCTATTTTTTGAAGCGCTAAATGCAGACCTTTTTTTATATTTCTATAACTTGTATAAAATGACCAAGGATAATGCAACTTAACGTTGGAAAGTTCCTCCTGGACTTGATTCCTGTAAAATAAACCAACCGAGGAGTTCCAAATGAGAATGTGAAACAGCTCAGGTGAATTGGAAATATAATAAAATAGAAATAAGAGCACACAATTTTTTATAGTCGGGTAAGTTGGTAAGAAGCTTATAAAAAATAACAAAGAGATAATACCGTTCCACATGCAACACAAGTAAACTTAACCATAGGCATATGACTATGAGCACCAAATAAACAAATAAGGAAATTGTTAAGTGCAAATCATTTTTTTTTCACGATGGATAAAGATCTAAATTAAGATCATGATTAATCTCATCCTCTGCTCTAGAGGTCATACATACACGTTATTTAGGTTATTTAACTTACATTGGAAATGGGGTATACTATATTTGACTTGCATTCACTAGCAAACGAACTATACATAAAGAGAGGAATAATAAAACTAGAATACAAAAGCCGTAAGGAATGAAGAAAGTTTGCTCGTTATACAAGGCTAGTGCATAGTACGTTTACTTTCAGATTTTTCAAAGTGGATTCCACTCATGGTATTAGAGTACCACTTCAAGAGGTCCAAGATTCAAATTTTGTAATCCGAAAATTAACTGTGCTTATTACCCTTTTATTCTGCCTTTCCAGAATAGTAATGTTATGTTGGACGTTTTCCCATAGACAAAGACACACATGGTCTGTTAAAGGTTAATTTAGCTCAATATGCATTTTCAGGCAACAAGCCATCTACTTATATGTTCATTAAACTACCAGAATGTATGTACCAGCATACACAGTTACGCAAGGAGTTGTCAGTTGTGTATTCAAATCTCATCATTTTCAATCCTAAACATTGCCAAGTTTTCTTGATGCACATTGTTAGTACAAAAGCCAAGAACTGAAGTTTTTGAATGAACATTTTTCTGACAAAGTATATTGGAATACCTATTTTAACAACACAATCTGAACTTGAAAGTGGACAATGAAGAGGAATGGGTATTTCATTTAACACAACATCCATCCAGTAGAACAGAAGGTTCTCTCTTCCTTCTATATATACAAATGAAGCAACTAAATTATTCAAACTGTGGGGAGAAAAAAGCAGAGACAGGTCAATTTAAGGGTAAATTACACTAAACCCGAACAACTTTCAGTGCTTTTCTGCCTCGAAATAACTTCTAAAATCGTACTGAGCCCCCAATAACTATTGGAATTGCAGAAAACCCCCAATAAGTTTTCAGTTTTGCAGAGCAGCCCACTTTTTGTGTTTGCAACACATTTACATCCTAGATGTGGACAAACGCCGTCATGGGGCTATCTGCAATTCCAGTAGTTATTAGGGGTTCAATGCGATGTTAGAATTAATTGGGGGTTTACTGCAAAATGCTGAAAGTTCCTGGGGGTTTAGTGCAATTTAACCTTAATTTAAAGCATGACCAGAAAGAGAAACTAGGAAAATACGAGAACAAAATAACTCAAAAACAACTAGGGGTTGGTGAGAACTGTTGAAGGAATCATTCATAACAACAGTTTTCATCTAGGATAAATTTCATTAAACCCCCGATAAGTTTGGGTGTTCTACATTCAGCTCCTTGAAACCCTCACTGAACCCCCAATAAGATTGGAAATTTTAGAAAGTCCCCAAAAGATTTTGATTTTTTATTTAACCCCAAAGACTACTTTACGATGTTTATGTGATATTCTCTGTTTGGGAACTCAAAATATGGGCTGATGTTGTTATGGGGGTTAAGTGAAATAAAAAGTTTTTTTTTTTTTTTTGAGGTTGGAGGGTGGACTTTGATTAAGAATCAAGAGTTTCCCCATAATAATGCCAACCAAAAAGTGGTCATTTTGGTTCCAGCACAAATCATTAGTTTTCTTGACTTAGTTGTGTTTAAAGATTTTTTTCTTCATACTTGCAGAGGACAATCTTATTCTAAACGCCAAATTCAAAAAACATTCAAAAGTACAATTTTAACACATTTTAGCTACAAGGAAAATGAAGATATATGAACCCAAAAGGCAAGAGGAAAATAACCAAAAAAATCTCATTTCTTTACTCAATTCATCTACTTCTTTCACTCAACTTGTCCATGGTGAAATGAATAGAAATCAAAATTGAATTAACAAATGCAACATGAAATCAAACTTAAGCTCCATTACTGAACCAAAAACTACAGAGGAGAAGAATTACCCCTTTGGTTATGGTCACTGCCCTCCCTTCTCTTATATGTTCACCTCTCTTCGTGTCCTTTCCTTTCTCCCCTTCTTTTGCCCTATCGGCCTATCTTTTCTCTTTCTACTTATTGGGTAACCCAATAGTCCGACCCAAATCTGAAACGGAAAGAGCTTAGAATCTAAAATATGCATATAAACAATGCTTTTCTACATACAATATTTTGTAGTGGTATTCCATTGCATATCCAACTGTAATGGCAACAAGTTCTTAAATGTCGTGGCTGTCGTGGTTCCCAGTTTGTTTCAGGAGCTTACACATGAATTGATAATTTTCACATATCTATGCTTGAATGTGATTGCGAAGTATGTTAGCAATTTGTGTTTGCAATGGTTTAGTGTTTATCTGCAAGACATTTGCACCTTGTATGTTGGAGCTCTGTATGTTCTGATTTTTCTCATTAGAACTTTGATTTTCCCTCGATTTGTTTTGGGGGTAGCTGGTAGGTGTGTTGTTACTTTTTTTATTTTATTCTGGGTGTTGGTGGCGGTAATACCAACATAATTATGTAGTTTGTATCTGAAGATGTATTTTCTGTGTATCTGATGTATCATATCTTCATTTTATGTTTATATAAAATCAATCCAATCTAATTGTATTGCAGTTTTGCCATGAAGTTGTCCTTCATTTGGATATATTTGGTGGTCTGTCTCTTTAAAGTAGTATTTGGTTGGCACAAGCGCAAGAGCAGCATTTGCTTCATTTTGATGTATTACATCCCTACAGATGTCGCGAGTATCTATTATATTAGCTAGTTTTTTACTCAATTCATCTACTTCTTTCACTCAACTTGTCCATGGTGAAATGAATAGAAATCAAAATTGAATTAACAAATGCAACATGAAATCAAACTTAAGCTCCATTACTGAACCAAAAACTACAGAGGAGAAGAATTACCCCTTTGGTTATGGTCACTGCCCTCCCTTCTCTTATATGTTCACCTCTCTTCGTGTCCTTTCCTTTCTCCCCTTCTTTTGCCCTATCGGCCTATCTTTTCTCTTTCTACTTATTGGGTAACCCAATAGTCCGACCCAAATCTGAAACGGAAAGAGCTTAGAATCTAAAATATGCATATAAACAATGCTTTTCTACATACAATATTTTGTAGTGGTATTCCATTGCATATCCAACTGTAATGGCAACAAGTTCTTAAATGTCGTGGCTGTCGTGGTTCCCAGTTTGTTTCAGGAGCTTACACATGAATTGATAATTTTCACATATCTATGCTTGAATGTGATTGCGAAGTATGTTAGCAATTTGTGTTTGCAATGGTTTAGTGTTTATCTGCAAGACATTTGCACCTTGTATGTTGGAGCTCTGTATGTTCTGATTTTTCTCATTAGAACTTTGATTTTCCCTCGATTTGTTTTGGGGGTAGCTGGTAGGTGTGTTGTTACTTTTTTTATTTTATTCTGGGTGTTGGTGGCGGTAATACCAACATAATTATGTAGTTTGTATCTGAAGATGTATTTTCTGTGTATCTGATGTATCATATCTTCATTTTATGTTTATATAAAATCAATCCAATCTAATTGTATTGCAGTTTTGCCATGAAGTTGTCCTTCATTTGGATATATTTGGTGGTCTGTCTCTTTAAAGTAGTATTTGGTTGGCACAAGCGCAAGAGCAGCATTTGCTTCATTTTGATGTATTACATCCCTACAGATGTCGCGAGTATCTATTATATTAGCTAGTTTTTTTAATGTCGCAAGTAAAACTTTTTGTAAGTGCGTTATTGAACTGGAGCTTATCTGATTTTTAGTACGAATCTTATGCGTGAAGAACAGAAGACTGTTTCATGCTTGCTGGAGCTGCTACTGATATTTGCTCTTCTTACTGATATTCAAATTTCACATTGCTCTCTTTGACGTTGGTGGGATCATTTCATCTTGATATGTGTAGTATCCACGATATTGAAGTGAGCTTTGATAAACGGGTCATTCGGGTTATATGGGTCGGGTCGGATAACCGGTTTAATATACGGATCGGATCGCATTGACTCATTTACTAAACGGGTCGGGTCACACTTATACGGGTCGACTCGACTATGACCCGACCCGACCCGTTTGCCACCCCTAATCTAAGCTCTTTCCGGTTCAAATTCGGGTCGAACTATTGGGTTACCCAATAAGTAGAAAGAGAAAGGATAGGCAGATAGGGCAAAAAAAGGGGAGAAAGGAAAGGGCACTAAGAGAGGTGAGCAGATAAGAGAAGGGAGGATAGTGACCAAGGCCAAAGAGGTAATTCTTCTCCTCTGTAGTTTTTGGTTCAGTAATGGAGCTTAAGTTTGATTTCATGTTGCATTTGTTAATTCAATTTTGCTTTCTATTCATTTCACCATGGACAGGTTTTTGCAGGAAAGAAATAGATGATTTGAGTAAAGAAATGAGATTTTTTTTGGTTATTTTCCTCTTGCTTTTTAGGTTCATTTATTTTCATTTTCCTTGTAGCTGAAATGTGTTAAAATTGTACTTTTGAATATTTTTTGAATTTGGCGTTTAGAATAGGATTGTCCTCTGCAAGTATGAAGAAAAAAATCTTTAAACACAACTAAGGCAATATCAAGTAGAACATTATACTCACTCCAATATTTTTTAAATTTCTTGTATATTTTGGTTGTTATTAACTTAACATATTCATCATTATCTTTCATCCCACTCTTTAAAGTACGTTGCACAACAAATACTTGAAGAAAGTAGAGATTAGTCGTTGGATAATTTGCACCGGAGAAAAGACAAGTGATGTTATAGAAAGTGGCTAATAACCTCTTAACCTTCTCGGCCTTATCCCATTTTTCTTGAGATGGACAAAGTCTTGAGTAGTTGGAATCACTCAATTGCATGTGTATAAATGCACGACGATAGTATAAAGCACTCTCAAGCATTAGAAAAGTAGCATTCCATCTTGTTGGAACATCTTGCCTTAAACTCTTCTTCACTTCCAAAGATTCATGAGAGACACATTCCCAAAATTTTTGTTTTCTAATTTGAGAGCCTTTTACATACTTGACGTTTTCTCGAATTTACCAATACAACCATGGACTTCTTTTAAACCATCTTGGACAATCAAGTTGAGGATACGAGTACAAGATCTAATATGAAAAAAAAAATCTCAAGAAGTGCTTCTTTTAAATTAAGTTGTTTTTTCAATAAATCAACAAAAACATCATTTGCGGAGAAATTATCAAGAGTGAAGAAAACAACTTCTTTTCAATTTTCCAATCAACTAACAACTTATAGATCTTCTCACAAATGGCAACACCAGAATGAGGAGGTGGCATATAAGAAAAGTTAAGAACCCGATTTCGTAACTTTCACTCATAATCAATGTAGTGTGCCGTGAGACAAATATATCCGTCAGTGGCCTATTGATATCCACAAATCAGAAGTCAAGTTAATTCTACCCGGAATTGATTCAAAAGCTTCTTTTAGCCTATTTTTCTCTCCCCCATAGATTTTAAGATTATCGGTTTTAACCGTATTTCTTGATATGTGTTTTAGATCCTCACAAAGATATGAGAAGATTACTCGAATACCTTCATACCCAACAAATTGAAATGGCAAATCGTGCATAATGATGGCCGAGACTAAGAGTCCCCTAAACTTATCCGGGTCAAAATTAAATCTCGAGGAACTCATTATAAAATATTTTGAGTTAGATAGACCCTCAATATCCTCTCTAGTAGCTTTCTTACAGATTTTCATGTGCCTTAACATGTTCTTTGTCCCATGGTTACCTTCGGCAATATATTTGATTCCACACTTCTTACATATTGAATATTGCTTCCCACCTAGCTCTGTTTTAACAAGGTCAAACATTTTCTAAGCTTTGGATGTTAATTTTCTTTTTCGGCCTCTAACAATTATCACTTTGGATTTTTTCTGACGGGACTAGACATGTCTTCTAATTCTTCGTTAGATGAATCGACTTCTACATTTTCCTCTATAGAATTATAGGTAGAATTAGATTCTACATTATCCTCTATAGAATTATAGGTAAAATTAGACTCCATTAACTGTGATGAATATTATGAGATTCATAAAATTAAATAAAATTATAATATAATCAAATAGATAATAAGAATTCAATAAATCTATAACTAGAGAATTGAGGGCTAAAAACAAACGTAGAAAAGTAGAAAAGGGGAAAATGGAGAATAAGAGAAAGGAGGGTTAAAAAAATTTACAGCGGGCTCGATTCAGGCTGCCGCTCCTCGTCGTCACCTCTCTCCAATCGCCGCCGCTCGCCGCCGCTCGCTGCTCGAGCTTAGTGATGGAAAATCTAGGGCTTCTCTTTTTTTCCCCCTCTACAGCGCGTTTATGAGAGCGTTTATGAGAGACGAAGGCGGTATGTTTGGATAGCGTTGTGAGTTTTTTTGGTGTTTCTCTAAAGAAACATATGTCACGGTGTTTTCTTTCAAAGTGTTTTGAAAATATAATTTTGAGTTTCTAAAAATTAATACGAGTTCGATTATTTCTATACATATATATTATATTATAATAATATCATATATGAAATATAACATATATGTTAAAATATATTTTATATTAACTAATATACTATATTCTATTATATTAATTATATATTATAATATAGACTAATATAAGATTATATATATAAATTAATATAATTATTTATTATACTATATTCTGTTTATATTATTATTTTTAACAGTATAATATATTTTTTGCATATTATATATATAATATATATTATATTATGTTACATCAATATACATTATACTTTAGTTTAATATTATAATATAATATAAGAAAACTTGATTTTATAATACTCTAACACTTTATTATATAATACTAATACTAATTTATTATAAAATATGCTAATATAATATGTTATATTGAATAAAATAGCAAATTATTTATTGTTTAATATTTTATATTTTTACTATATTATATTATATTATGTTACATCAATATACATCATACTTTTGTATTATATTATATTGATTTAATATAATATATAGTAATCTAATATATATTTTTTGTTTTATAATTTTTATATTATATTTTTTTCGTTAATATAATAAAATATATTAATGGAATATATTAAATTAATATATTAAACACATTTGAATATATTATATTAATATATTAAACATATTTTAAATCATTGTAAAATTAAAATATTATTTATAATATAATATAATATATTTAACAGTATTTAATATGTTATACTAATATTTAGATAAAATATTTAATGTAATTTGGTATATTATAATATTATTTATATAATATAATAATATATAATATATTGAGTATTATATTATAAACAAATTATCGTTTATAATATTATAGATTATATTTAGCTATTATATTAATACCCTACTCAAACTCAAAACACCATGCAAAACTCAAAACACCTAAAATGTGTTTTAAAATAAGTGTGGTGTTTGTTGTTTTTTAGCGTTTTTTATCATAAAAACATCATGGCTCCCAAACACATGGTGTTTTTATTTTGATAAAAATACCATGGAAATGGAGAAAACACTATGATTCTCACAGGTCGGTGTTTGTGTTATACGGGTCAGTAGGATCAATCCGAATTGACATGTTTAATAAATGGGTAAATTTTGGTTGACCCGTTTATGACCCGACCCATGTAATTCAACCCATGCCCATTATAAACGGGTCGGGTCAAGTCGGGTCATAAATTGTCACCCCTAACTTAGATCATGAGGGTTTTCCGATATCGTCTGCTCTTTTATATTTTAAAATTGGGTTTACTCACATATCAGTCACTTATCCTTAATTGCCAAATATTCCTTCAAATCTCAAAATTTGCTCCCTTAAATTTTCTTGCCAAATATTCCCTCTCTTATGACTCTAATTGGGTTAACCCTAACCCAACAATTTAAATTATCTAAGTACCCCTGAGTATATTTTATTCTCTCAAGCAACTAAAAAGTCTCTTATTCTCAAAATTTTCTTGCTCTCTGAAAGTTGGAAACATCTCATTTTTTGGTTTGGGAAAGTACAAGACCGTTGGAGAAGAAAGATTCTTTGCTTCTTTTATTTTGTCTATTAGAAATATGTGATCTCCTTGCCCCAGACTTTTGTGGGCATTAGGTAAACTTGTTATGAAACGGATAGGTGCGGTTTTTAATGATAATGTTAATAGGAGACGGGGGTATAACATGTAATCTACGTATCTCCATTACATTTAATAAAATTTCACTCGCATTATTAATGTCACCTAACAATAGGGATGTGATTGCAAGAAAATTAAAGATTTTAGGGACAAATAAGTAAATAGTGAGATTTGAGGGACTGACATTCATGGTTGATTTAAGGAACTAATACCCTTTAAATTTGGCCTTCATATCTCTAAAAACAGATTACCAATTCTCAAGCTATTTTGAAATTAGCCCTGAAATCATTGAAATTGTTACTAATCCCAAAATATTATTAATCCCTCATGTATTTGAAATTACTCATAAGTCTCTCAAATTCCAAGAAGTCTTGCAAACTGGTCCCTCAAAAAGCAAATGTCGCTAATGTTATATTCGTTGTGAGCAGAGAGGTTTTAAGGGATCATAAGATGAGGGCATTTGGGTCATTGAGAGAGCAATCTGCAACACCGCTTGGAATTTCAGGAATTTATAAAAGCAATTTCGAAAGATTTAGCAAATTAATATGGAATTATTGAAGATTTGTGGGATAAATATCTAAATATGACTATTAGAAATTAATTCAAATATCTAAATATAACTATTAGAAATTAATTCCACAAATTAAGAGTATAAGGATATGTTTGGCAAAACTAGCTGAAGCCTGAAAGCTGCGAGGTTATAGATGAAAGCTGTTAAGCTAGCTAAAAGCTGTGAAATTATAGCTAAAAGCTTATAGCTGTGTAGCTAGCTGATTGACTAGAGTTGTTTGGCAAAAATAGTTGTACAACTAGCTTAAATTTGTTAAATGACTAAAAAGGACATGTAATATTATTGATATAAAATTAGAATTATTAGGGGCAAAAATGAAAGGAAAAAAATTGACAGCTCCTTCCCAAAGACAAACGCTACTTGAGGTAGCTTTCCAAAAGCTACTTGTAAAAGACACAATCTTCAAAATAATCTCCTTCTATTTTTTGTCACCAAACAGATTTACTAGCTTATTAACCAAGTCAATAAGACACGATCTCTTAGATAAGACACAATCTCTTGTTGCCAAACAGTGCCTAAGTAACATGTGGAGGAATTAACGTGTGACAACTGAGAATTGTAGGATCTAATAGAAAATTCAATAATTTGAAAATAACTTGTCAATTTGGGACCAATTTCGAAAGATTTAGCAAATTAATATGGAATTATTGAAGATTTGTGGGATAAATATCTAAATATGACTATTAGAAATTATTAATGTACTAGTGATCACACAGTCAATTTGATCCAAGATAGGATCGATTTGTTCAGTATTGAAGATTTATGAGGGGACCGTCTCCTTCTCTGACTTTATATCTGGTTCTTGAATTGGGGAATTGAGTTGTCTACACATATAAAAACTCGTGAGAGGATGGGGATAGGTTCCCCTATTGTACCTCCGACGATCAAGTTAGATGGTAAACTTGAGTGGAAGAAGAAGCAGAACTTAAGATTTCTCCTCTTTTTTGGAATAGCCCTCCTCAGTATTAAATGAGAAGAGAAAGGGAGTATGGGCTGGTGGCTGCGTCAGCATTCACTTTATAGGTGTCGGTAGGTGGTTGGGGAAAGATCACTTCAGCATTGGAGAGATTGTCTCAGCATCGAATGAAGAGTGATCGGCAACGTGGCAGAACCCATGTGATTTGACGAGTCATGAAGACTATCAGGGCTAGGGTCATAATGGGACCTATCCAGTGTTGATCACGATGCTAACACATGGCCAGAGGGAGAAGTCTGAGGCAGATATTATCCTCCTGTTTTGCCGAGAAGTAACGTCCACCGAGTCGTCCTCACAGGGCATTGAATAAAAGGTCGAGTGGGCTCCATGCGAGTCGGCTTTGACAAGAGACTCGATTGATCCTGACTCTTGAGTCGTCATGAAGAGTATTGACTTAACGAGTCGGCCAAATGGGGATCTCCGCTGGGTTGGGCCACCAAGCTGGTTGGGCCTTGCTTGTGGAAATACACACGCATGTTGTTTGGTGAGTTATATTTTGATTAATGGGAATACCATAACAGTTGGCCCGTTTTGCTTGGAGTCGGCTTTAGCCGGGTCCGAGTGAAATATGATAAAGAATCACTCTGGAATTGCTTCTCTATGTTGCATAGTCTCAGAATGTTTGCCTGATGACTTAGTTTCCATGTGGACTGGTAGATTTAAGCATTAAACTGAGAGGACTCATCCTCTATAGAGAGCAGACGTCTCAAACTTGAGTAAGTAAGCTTCCGAAGGATTAATTTTTTCTAAGTCTTAGGCCAATCTGATCAACTATTCTTACAACTTAGTATCTGAGCAACTTGGACCAGTTGTCAGAGAGATATCCTTAAAGTCATCTTGTCGACTGCGGTCGGTCAATTAGGGCCCGGTAGACTTTGCCTAGCAGACATTGTTTAGCTAGCTTCCAGAGGCCTTTATTGGGCCGACGAAACGTCACTGTTGAGGATGACGTAATGATGTTGTCAGTTGTCAGAGTAACGACGTCATTTCAATTTTCAAATGAAGAGGTTAGAGTAAATAGGAACGTCGCTTCGAGTTTCGAGCTAACCGTTTGAGATTACGAAGTGAATCTCGCCCGTTTATTTTGAAACGAGACAACCATTCTAATCAATCCTCGTGCCCCTTTGGGATAATATAAATAGCTCGTTAGAGGCAAAAAAGAATTCTTTATGAGTTCTTGCCCAAAAAATAAGTTTACTTTGCAAACCAATTCTTCAATGTCTTCCCCAGCTTCCACCGCAGGCCACAATGAGGAGAGGATTGCTCTTCTCTGGCTCATCCTCTCGAGGGTCTTGACGGGGACGCTTGAGCCATATTACGATCATTATGACATTCCGAGGGCTTTTATGCTGGGGGCCCCGAGTATAAGCAAACCCGTGTATCACCATGGCGGGGACCACACACTGCTTTACCTTGCTCATCTTGAGCAGGGTCTACAGCTGCCGCTTCATCCCTTTATTAGGAACGTCTGCATTGCTCTAGGGGTTTCCCCCTCTCAATTTACCCCTCATGCCATTGAGGTTCTAGTGGGTTTTGTCGTCATTTGCCACCGAGTTGGAGTCTCGCCG